AATTATAAATTACTGGAAGATCAGCTACCCAGTGGGTGGTAGAACTGGAACTTAAATTCCAGCCCCCTGCTACATGGACCCCAGAGGAAGCCAAGGCCCGCTGGTGGCTGCCTCACTGACTCCCTGCAGACCCCCTGCCCCATTGGAGGCGAACATGCGCTCATAAAGGTTCAGCATGTTTGAAACTTTGGTGGAACTGCTGGACGAGACTGATAATAATGACTCTTGGCTGTTAAATTTCCCACGACTCATCACACCCCCACCATGAGCTGCTGCAGTAGGCAGACTTGTTAGCCCCCATTTTGCAAATGAGGCAACTGAAGCTCAGAGAGGCTCCGCGACTTGCCCGGGGATGCCTGACCTGTAAGGGCAGAGTCAGGCCCTGAGCTCAGACCTTGAAACTCCAAAGCCCGGGCACGTTTCCAGTACCAGGTGCCCCAGGAGGCGTAACCAGCTGCCTCACCCAGTGCATTTTGCATTTTGACAGGGCACAGGGCCTTCTGTGAAAAAACGAGGTGCTAATGGTGGAACTGTCAGGCATGGGGCTCGGCCAGCAGACAGGCAGGGGGCCTGAAGTGTTGGGGAGGACAGAGTGTCTTCCCCTTCGGGGAAAGAAATGTCACATATGAGGTCTTCTTGCCCTACTCAGAAAGTCCTGCCCTCCAGTCACCCGCTTCTCCATTCTACACCCCAATGTAAAGGACAGACATGTACAATGTATATCTAAAAGGCCTTAGGGCACTGCCTGCAAGAGGGGCTCACTGAGGGAGGGGGTCCGGTTCCTTGTTTTGTCTCACTCAAAACCCAAGTGAAAATAGGATAGCTGGATTCAGAAGGGAGGGAAGGGGCTGGTGGGACCCTCTCCTTGCCCTTTAAGCATCATTGCCCTCCATGGAATGGGAAGCTTAGGGCCGCAGGAAGCTGATAGGGGAAACAGGGGTCTTCCTTAAACCTCTGAACTAGTTTTCTCAACCTCGGCACTTTTGCCATTGTGAGCTGATCATTCTTTGCCGTGAGATCTGTCCTGTGCAGTGCGGGATGTTTAACACGATCTCTAGCGTCTACCCACTAGGCACCAGGAGTATCCCCCGCCAAGTTGTGACCACCAAAACTACCTCCAGGCATTGCCAAATGTCCCCTGGTGTGGGGTGGCATGCCCCTGGTTGTGAGCCAGTTCTCTAAAACTCACACACACGTACGCAGGCTGTGCATTTGACGGGGGAAGACTGGAGAGGGGAGGAGATGGTTAAATGAAACCAGATGTTAACTTGGAAAGTATGCAATCGGGCCCCACCCTCCCTCCGGTGCTGGGGCCAAGGAGGGGATGGGGTGTTCTCAGCCCTTTGAGGTTAGTCACCCGGAACCTGGCTGGGCCCCTGGAAGGGGCAGGGCAAGGCTGGGGCTGCCTGCGCTTCCTCCTCCTGCTCCTCCTCCCTCTCCTCTTCCCCATGCTGTCCCTCTGCCCCAGTTACTGTGAAGGCCTCATCCCTGGATGTGCTGGGGGTCGTGGGTCCCCCACCCAGGGTCCTGAGTGTAGCAGCAGCAGCAGCTGGGGCACGGCTGACGGGGGACCCAGGGCCTAGGCCGGGGCAGACAGGGAGGGGAGCCCTGCACTAACTGGTCACTGGTCATGCGGCTTCTGCAAGGTTCCTGCACGCCACTCACTAACTGTGTGAACTTAGATTCCCTGAGTCTCAGCTTCCCCATTTAAAAGATGGGAGTAACATCTCAAAATGCCTCTTCGGGGCTTTTGCAAAGCTGAGTGGCCGGTGCCTGGCACATGGTAGATGCAAAGAGTGTTGCCCTTCCCTCAGTGGGGTCTCTGGTCAGAGCCCCCAACTCTCCTGAAAGCACATGCCTCGGTCCCCCCTCACACCAGCCCCTGAGCCTGAGGTGCAGGGTCCAGGTGGCCAAGATGGCTGGGGAGCAGGGGTGGGTGGGGAGTGGGGCCTCGGCAATTCCCTCATCTCTGTGGCTACAGACTGAGCCCTCCAGCAGTGTCAGGAGGACAAGAACCCCACATCCTCAGAATCATGCTTAACACAAAAACACCTGAGCCAGCTCTGTGGCCCAGGAAAGGAAAATTCTTCAGGGCCAGGCTTCAGCCTCAACACTGAAAATAAAGAAATTGTCACGGACTCTGTAGCTGTGATTCTCACCGCCCTTGGAAAGCATAGGCAATGCCGAGAAAAGTTCTCGGCTGTCACAGCTGCAGGGGGCGAGGGACAGGGTGCTCCTGGTATCTAGTGGGCAGAGGTCAAGGCTGATGCTAAACATCCTTCGATGCACAGGACAGCCCCACAACAAAGAATTATCCAGCCCAAGATGTCAAAGGGGCCGAGGCCGAGGAGCCCTGCTCCGCCGGGCTTCGTATCTTTGTTCAGAAGCACAGTGTCTTTGTTATGTGCACACCCAGAGCCTGGTGTACAAGAGGCGCTCAGGAGTAGCTTTGCATGAATGAATGGAGCCACTAATGTCACATCCTCTGCTGTGCTCAGAGGTAATTCATAGAATAAACCTCACACTTCCCAGTGTGTCATCCCGTCTGTGCAGGGGCCAAAGACCCAGAACCCAAATCCAGCATTCAGAACCCCACAGCGTCCCTGTCACACTGGGACGTGGAGCTGCCTCTCTCACCAGCGAGCCTGGGGCCTGGGGAGGGGCCGCCTTGGCTGCTCACCTGCTGCCCAGCACACCTGGCAAGGGCTTAGCAAGGTGACAGAAATGAATGGCGGACCCTGTCTCCACAGTGCTGTGGACACAGGACATATCACAGAAAACAGGGTGTGGAACCCAGCACAGGTCTGGGTTCAAATCACAGCCTGACTCCCTCTCAGCCTAAACGTGGGAATAACCTCCTTACGTCAGTTTTCTCAATTATAAATGGGGCTAATAACACCTTCCTTAAAAGGTTAACGTGAGGATCAGCACATAATCCGCTTAGAGTTTGGCGATGTGCTCAGAAATCATGGTGAAAAATGATCGTTGACTCTCTGTCATGACCTCGTTTCCAGTGTTTGCCCCTCTGCTTGTAATCTGCAACCCAAGGCTGAGCCTGGAAGAGTCTGGAAGGGCTGCTGAACGCTCGTTCACCCCTGTCTCCAGCTTGGCTGTGTGCCAACACTGGGTTAAGCCCCAGGGACACAGAGGTGAATAGGATGTGGTCCTGACCTCTGGGAGTCGTTTGGGCTGTTGGGACATTAGCAAGAGCCCAGAAGGACCATGATTTGGGATTAAGATGAGGCCAGCACAGCACTGAGGGCACAAAATACTTCTGAGGAAGCACTCAAGGTGCCCTTGCACGAGTCTGAGTGTGAGCACCTCCTTAAAATGCACACCCTGGCCTTACCCTAGTCTGAGCCCAGGGAAGGACCACATCCCAGGAGGAGTGACTGAAGGCACGGAGGAGGGTGAGATGGGGGCAGAGGCTGCAGCACCAGAGGCTTCCTGGAGGAGGTGTCAAGAGAGCTGCTGACTAGGAAGAATTTTGAAGTGCAGGTCTGAGGGCACAAGTATGTTGGTAGGAGCCTATGGGAGCAGAGGCTGCCCTGGAGGAAAGCCCCAGGCAGGTCTGAGATGGGCAAAGAGTTTGTAAATTAAACGCACAGGAGCCTAGCATTATGACTTGAGAACAGGGGATTTCTTTTTTAAGATGGCAGGGGTTCAACTCTCAGTAACTCTGCTGCAAGGGGTTCCCTCCCAGTTTCCCAGGGACTGCGAGGCTCAGCAGAGACAAAATGGGCCCCCCTGACAGTCATAGCCTGGGGGAGTGGGACAGAGCCACCTGACACTCAGGCATCTCACCCTTTGGGTTGTACTATCACGGCTATGAAGACCCCCTAGTGAAAGGACAGCCAGTAGCTGGGATGCGGCGTGGGGGTTCACAGGTGAGGAAGACTATTTGGTCACAGGTTGGTGGAGGAGGATGGTGACAGAGGAGCAAATGAACATCAGTACAATGTGATAAAGGGGCATGGGGGACCCCTAGGAGGCTGGACCTCCACACCCATCAACCAAGAGTGTTTACGGAGGGCAGGCACTGATGGGTGGCAGACACTCTGGAACAATGACATAGGTTCCAAAATAGAATGGGCTGGCTGGTTGGAAGGCGAGCGACCTCTTAGTAGAATCCAGCTCTGTTGAACCAATATTTATTGAGTACTCACTCACTCAATGCTTTGGTCTGGAGTAAAAGAAGAAATAGGAGTTTGGAGGCTGTTATGTCAAGGGTAAGGGTGGGAGAGTACTGCTCTTAAGGAGCTCAAGGCTGAACGGGAAAGACAGTTTTCCTGATGGGAGGGAGGGAGGGAGGGAGGGAAGGCAGGCTGGGCTGGGGGAGCAGCCTAAACAAAGGCAGTGGAAGCCTGGAAAGACCAGGTGTGACCAGGAGGTAACAGGCAGACCGTATGGCTAGAACACAGGGACGGGGAAACCCTGTCCTTAAAGGTTTGCCTTCCAGGTTGGGGTCCATGGCCTTTATTTTCTGGGCAGCAGAGAGCAAAAGATGCTTTGAGGACAGCCATATGATCTGGCCCTTAATATAGAAAGATTAATTCTGTGTGAGTATGAGCCACAGGCTGAAAAGGCAAGAGATTAGGCAGGAAGATTTGGTAGAAAGCTGGAGTACCTGTAGGGGAGAGAGGATGGGGGCCTGATGGAGTGGTGGAGCGGATGATGAGGAGGACATTGATGGATGGACCAGATGTAGGGGGAAGGGGCAGTGGGGGTGTTGAGATGACCCCCAGGTCCCAGCCTCTGGGCTGGCAGGTGTCTCCAAGAAGCAAACCGAGGTCTGCGGAAGTAGATGTCAAGTCAGTGGACCTTGAAGGCCTTCCCCTGCCTGGAGGTGTCTGGCTCCACGGCCAGCAGAGCTGGGCTCCAGGTAGCTCTGCGGGATTCTGACCAGTGCCCCCTTCCCCTCCCTCCTTCCCCAGTTCCCACAGTCAAAGTCCCAGTATTCGATGCCCCAGTAGCTCTCCCCTATCTTTCTTTCATCCCAGGACTCACAGAAACAGTCAGGACCCAGCCATGGGCCAAAGACACCATCAGGCCAAAAGGTGAAAGCTCCACACCATCTCCTGTCCCTGTCATGGAAGCAGGACCGTGAGCAGACTCTGGCAGCAGCCTATGTGCCGGTGGTGGTGGACCCGAGGGGGCAGAACCCGGACAAGCTCAGGTTCAATTTCTACACCTCCCAGTACTCCAACTCCCTGAACCCCTTCTACACCTTGCAGAAGCCCACCTGTGGCTACCTGTACCGCCGGGACACTGACCATACCCGCAAGCGCCTCGACGTGCCTCCTGCCAACCTGGTCTTGTGGCGTTCATAGGCCTGTGCCAGTCGGAAGCCCTCTGTCCTGCACCCTCACCCTGATGATCTCAGGCCCCAAGGGGAGGGGCTGCTCACTCTCAGAGGAGCAGAAAGTGCTCAGGCTCCGGTGGCTATGCCCTGGCCACCGTCAGCAATGGCAAAAGGAGGTCTTGCTTCTCAGCAACAATTAAAAGTTTGTCCTTCCTTTCTCTAGCATCTGAATGGGTGGCTGTGGAGGGGTAAACTGAGGCCACAGGGGTGTTGGACAGCAAGGTTATGTCCAGGAGCCTGAAGACTTGGAAGGAGTTGATTCTCATCCCCTTCCCCCCAAAGTAACCCCAACTCCCTGCGCCCCCAGAGCCTGAGTCCCAAGCAAAACCCATCCTGGCCACACCACCAGCGGTCCAGGTTTGGCAACCCCTCCAGCAACAACTGACCATGACGTAGGGTTGGAGCAGACACTAGAGACTGGCAGAGTATTTCAGGGAGCAGACCTGGTCTCCAGGGGGCTTCCTCTCCAGCCCTAGTTTTGCGTAAAACTGCCTCTTCTGATTTGTGGTTTGTTGGCGAGGGATGGATTTCTCACCTTAAGTCTCTCCTCTGGCCTAGCAGAGCTGACGCTAAGGTTAGTTAGGCTCCTGGACCCTGGTTGACAGAGAAGGGGGATGAAGGCAGAGGGCACCTGACTCATAGCAGCGGTCTGAGTGAGTCCCTGGTCATGGCCACCCAGGGGTGGATCCAATGGTGGGCTGGCACCAGCTCAGTCTGGCCTGTGAGAGCTGACTGTGAGCATCTCCTAACTCCACAATCAGTGACTTCACCCTGGTAGCTTGAAATTGGCCACGGTGAGAGTATTTACACCACGGAAACTGGCAAACGCCTACAAATTAGGCTTTCTTTTTTTTTCCCCAGAGAGCCAGTGGTTAAATATTTACCAGCACACCACTGGGTGGATCCACCTGGTTTCATTTCTAGGAATCACATCTCATTCTAGGAGGAGCAGTATATGCCTGGTGATCCTTGGCTGGAAGCAGGCCATTTAGCATCTGGACAAGTTCTGTCCTGCCTGGATGTTGGCGTTTACGTAGCCAGTGTGCGAAGGAGCTGGGTTGGTGGGGGGTGGAGAGTGGAGGGTCTCTTCATATTCAGACTTTCCCCCAACTTCCCAGTTTCCAGAGAAGCCCTTCTCTCTTCCTGAGATATACCTAGAGGCTAGGACTTCTCCAGTTCAAATCTCCAGAACAACCTTCCACCAGGGTCAGAAGGGGATAGACACCTGGAGGCGTCTGTTCTGCCCACCCTGTCCTGCACCCCAGCTCTCAGGGCACCCTCTGCACCCACCTCCTGAGCCTCCGGAGTCCTGTGGCAGGAATAGGCCTTGTGTGTGTCCCAACCTTCACATCCTCCCTCTCTTTGAAAGCACTTAGGTTTCAACTTTCCGCTCTCTGATAAGACATCACTCATCCATCCGCTTTCTGTGTCCAGAATTTTATTAGAACCTCTCACCTGCTGTCTTCTCTCTCTTGGTCTCTGTGGATTTGCAGCTTTAAAGTTTATTGCCATTTTAGCGGGCTTTTGAAAAGAGGCAGCAATAAATGCCAGGTTTCAGTCTACATACGACCCAAAGTTCTACCTCCAACCAGCCATCCAGCAGACACTGGTTGAACACCTAGTGCGGGCTGGGTCCCTGGGCTGCAAAGATGAACAGGAACCATCTCTGCCCTCCCAGACCTGACAGCCTCTTGGGGTCGGGTGCGGCAGCATCTTTACTCCCCTGACTGACGCCTCCTCCTCTCTCCTGGAGAAGGCCTCCCCCTTGAGGTTCACCTTGGTAGAGCAGCCTCCATGGAAGCTTCCAGAAACCCTTTAGAGAAGCTGGCCCAGGTGCTGCGTGGGTCTGGGTCAGGGAGTCCCAGGAGACTTTCCGGGCATGGCTTCCACCTCTGCGCCCCACCCCACCTGCTCCCTCTTCCAGGCATCATTCAGCCCAGTGGATCCTCTCTGCCTGGCCTGGCATCTATCCCAGGATGGGCTCCTACAGACAGAGCAGCGGTGGTGGTGGGGGAGCCCACAGACCTCTCTCACGTGTCCACTGCATGGGCTGCCCACTCCACCCCTCTGTAGCCCTCCTGTGTATTCGCCTCTTCCTGGACGCCTTGTTATGGTCCCCAGTTCCCTCTGACTTGGGATCCATGTCTCTAGGGGAAGGATGGAAGGACTGCCAGAGGTCACTAGAGATGGAGAGGCTGGGCTCTGGGACTGGGAAGCCATGGGATTCCGTTTCCACCTGCGCTGGAGACGGAGCTAGGGCCCCACGACCGATGGGAGCCAGCCCCCTGTCAGTGGGACTGTTCAGGCAGAAGGGCCACAGGGGAAGGCACTGGATTGAGGGGCTTAGAGGGTCCTCTGGCTCCGTCGAGGCTTTCCCCAGAGATGTCAAGACTCAGGCTAAAAGCAAGGTGATGCGGTGGAGAAACGTTGGCACCATCCCTTAAAATTCTTGTGAACCTCAGAATGTGATTTTTCTGCCCATGGAAATAATGACGTCCGCTCCCCAGGGCTGTTGCGAGCCTATTCACCAAGCTTAACGTGGGGCCTTGAACACCGTGGATGTTTGATGATAACTCCATCCTACTTTAGGTTTTTTAATCCTTTCTTTAATCGTGCACACATTCATTCAGTCAGTAATATTTTATTGTGCTCAAGGCCCTGTCAGTCTCAGGGGCAGTTACTCTCAGAAAGGTAATTGCAGTGGCGGGAGGGTATAGCTCAAGTAGCAGAATGCATGCATAGCATGCACAAGGTCCTGGGTTCAATCCCCAGAACCTCCTCCAAAAAAATAAATAAATAACTAAACCTAATTACCATTCTCCCCAAATAAATAAATAAATAAATGTTTTAAAAAGTTAAAAATAAAAGGTAATTGAGGAGAGTTTAATGAGAGGACTGTTCACTGAGAAGTGGGCGTATTTAAGGGGCTTGAGGGTGTGCCCAGAGGGTAGAAGGCAGGGGCTTTGTCACAGGAGCCTAGAGAGGGCTCTGGCAGGAGCTGCAGCTGAGGGTCGAAGAAGGCAACCAGGGCCCAGGGCCCATCGTTGACCCAGCCAGGAGGGAGGGGGACAAACACCCAGCCTCTCTCTCTTCCCTCCTTCCAGTCTCCTTCAGTGCTTCTCAATGGATGAACCCAACTGAAGCCAGAGGGCCAGGGTGCCCAGGTGATCCAGTCCACAGAGGTCAGCCTCCTGGGGCTCAGAGCAGACAGAGGAAGATGGAGAATGAGTGGGGGAGGGGCAAACAATAACCAGCTCACGACCGTGGACCATGGAATCGTGGTACTAGGGGCTGGGATGCTGCGAGAGAGAGAGAGACAGTGGCCTCTACAGGGGAGCTGCTGGGCTCCTGAAGGTAGGTTGGCATCAAACAGCTGCTTATAATTTCAGAAAGAAATGAGTATTTTATGTCTTTATTATCACAGAAGTGTGACCGTCATAGACCATAAGGTGGCCTCCAATGATTCCCACCTCCTGTTGCTCGCGTCTCTGTGTTAGCCTCTCACGCTGAGTGTGGCAGAGACCTGAGGCTTGCTACTACCCCACCAAATATGGCAAAGGCGATGGGTGTGACTCCCTGATTTAGGCTGCATTATATAGGATTCCATTTTAGCAGATGGGAGAGAGAGTCTCCCCATTGGTTTGACAAAATAAGCAGCCGTGTTGAGAAGCCCATGTAACAAGGAACTGTAGGCAGCTTCTAGAAACTTTAGGCAGCCTCTGGGACCTGAGAGTGCCCTCCAGACAATATCTAGCAAAAAGCCAGGGCTGTCGGTCCTGTAGCCACATGGAATGAATTCTGCCAATGACGTGAATGAGGTGCAAGTGGATTCCTCCCCAGTCAAGCCTTCAGATGAGAACACAACCCAGATGACACCTTGATTACAGCCTTGTGAGATCCTGGCCAGAGGATCCGGTTAAGCCGTGCTTTGTGGACTCCTGGTTCTCAGAAGCTGTGAGATAATAAATATACACAGTGTTAAGCTGCTGACTCTGTGGTGCTTTGTTATATAGTATAAGAAGCTAACAACTCATAAGCCAGATGTCGGCATGCTGAGGCTGGAAGGGTGAATTCTGTAGAGATTCAGAAGGCTTCACAGAGGAGGGGGCTTTTGTACTAACACGTGAAGAGTGAGGAGGATGTAAGTAGGGAAAGATGAGTGGCCACCTTCTCCACTACCCCTTCATTTCAAACCCTGGGCCTGAGAGGGCTCTGCAAGGACATGGATTCCAGCCTGGGCCCCAAGCAAGTTCAGTGGAGGAGCCCACCCTGCCCCCCTGACAAAAAAAAAATGCTCTGGAGAACTTGATCAAGGCAGGCAGACCCCAGCCTCTCCCCACCCCAACCCTGAAATGCATCTTAAATTGATCCCCTAAGGTGGAAGAGAGGTGAAACAGTCCCATTTCTTTTTTTCAAAAATAACTATCTGCTGGTTATAAATAATGTATGTTTATTATGAATCGTTTTTTAAAATACAGATTTTTTTTAAAAAAGCAAAGATTTAAAAAATCACTGGTGATCCCATGACTCAGAGATGAGCCTGTTAACATTTTCATTGTTTCCTTCTGGTCACAGGTACCAAATACACAAGTGACAGGGACAACAGTGTTAATGTCACCCTCGTCTCAGTCTTTCTCTGGTCTTCTAAGAAGCATCCTTAGCTCTGGGCCCTTTGAATTAACTTTCTCAGGATAATGGGCAAAAAGAGTTGCAAGAAGACCAACCAGTGGTTTCTGTGATGGAAAGGAAGAAAAATGCTCTCCGGGGAAGGCCAGATCTGGCCCAGAGCACACATCTCCCCACCCCAGCCCCACCCCTGGTTATATGTGGCAGATGCCACAAAAGGAATGGCCAGAGAAGCAGCCCACTCAGTCTCCTCTAGTTCTCAGGACCTCTTTGTCTCATTCCATCTGGAGCTGAGATCCCTCCCTAGGTATAGCAGCGTTCTGCTTCCGGTGGTTCCCATGTGCCCTGAGCTGCTGAGAGGAGGTGTCCTCCTGTGGAAGGGCTGCTGGGGCTGAGCAGTGTCTAGTGAGACAGACCCCATCACTCTGGGCTCCTCCCTCTGCAAAGCTAGGAGTCACAGCCTGTGGATACAGAGAACTTGGCCCTGGTGGCTGGAAGGCTGTGACTGCCCTTCCTCGACAGAGCTGGACCATCTCTCTGAGCTGACCTTCTCCAGGTCCTGGTCCTCTCTCTGTTCAGCTCTCAGGATACCCTCCTAGATGGGTAGCCTGACACTTTTCTCACAAAATTGCATAAGAATCACCATCTTACTGAGGCCTCTATCCTCGAACTGCATCTGAGGGTTCAAGTTTGCTTTTTATTTCAGTAAATAGGGGTTTATTTTTCAAACATAACCAGGACTGTGGGTTGAGGCATTGGTTATTTCCATGGGTTGAGCAGTTCAACAATGATGGCTGCCATCTCTGGTATTCTCGGCCCTTTCCTCTGCTTGAAACCTCATGGTCACAAGATGGCTGCTACATTCCAGGCATCGCATCCACATTCAAGGGCAAAAGTAGGAAAGGGCAGCACCAGTTGCATCTTTTATCACTTTTATCAAGAAAGCAAAGCTTCCCCAGAAAATCACACAGAACTTCACTTACATTTCTTTGTCCAGAACCATGTCATGTGGCCACCACAAGCTGCAGGAGAGGCTAGGAAAACAATTTTCTTGCTTTTCTAGCCTCTCTTTCATAGAGGCAGACAAGGGGGCAGAGAGCTGGGAATGGGGTTGGATCTAATAAGGTGTTAATGAAGGCTTCTGCCTTCTCTACGGCCTGAACGCAGCTGGAGAGTTCCCTGTGTGAGACAGGTCGATGTCTGTCCCCACACAGGTCTTCTAACAGTCCAGGGCCTGCAGTGAGTGGGGCTAAAGGGACAAGAGGCTCTAACCTAGGGACATTGCTGTGCCCAAGATGTAATATAACAGCACCTGGATTCTGAAGTCAACAGCATGCCAGACCTGCAGATGTAATGGATACAAAAGAATGAAATAACTAATATGGGACTCTTCCTCAATACCAGCGCCTGCTCTAAATGCTTTTCATAGATTAGTATCAATTCAGTTAACCCTCTTAACAGCCCTGTGAGGTGGGCGCCATTATCTCCATTTTAAGGATGAGAAAACTGAGGCCCAGAGATATTAAGGTACTTGCTTAAGGTCACCCAGCCAGTAGTGTGAGTAAGAAATAAACTTGTGTTGCTTTAGGCCACAGAGATTTTTGAGTGGCTAGTTACTACGCATAACCTGGCCAACTGTGAGGTATGTATGTATGTACTCTGCTATCTAATATACAGATTGTATAAGATACTTATACAAGTGAATTTATATGTGATGATACGTTTATATTATATAATTTATATAAATAGGAGTATATTTATATACATACATGTATATTAAAAAATCTTCCAAAGTATTCACTCTCAAGAAAAAGTACTTCACAGCCTGGAGTAAAGAATCCTGTCCTTGTAGGCTTGCAGTCTGGTGGGGCCCAGGCAGTTGGGGTTCCTGAGGGGAGCTCGGCCAGCCTAATTTTGCTAGAAAGACTCATAACATTTTGTGCAGTATTTAAAATTGCACAGCCTTTGTATCAGTCAGGATAGGATAGATTAGCTGTGGTAGCAAACCACCCCAAAAGGCAGTCCTTTTGTCAAATATAAGAGACACTTTTGTGCAAAAGCCTCAGAGTACAACTTGGGTAAGTATCCAAGGGCCAGCTGGGGAAAGCAGAAATGTGTGTGGTGGTTCCCTCTGGCTGTGGTAGGGGACCAGGCAAGGTCTGAAGAGTGGAGGAGGGAGGGAAACAGGGAAGGGGCAGGACAGTGCGAGTGCTGGCTCTGGGCTTAAGTATGCAGCTTAAATGCACTTAAATGTTGGCTCTGTAATGAGCCAACTTTAAAGTCTATGGTCAGAGAGCATCCAACGAGGGGTCAGAGAAAGCTGTTCCTGCCTAGATGGGTCCCTAGGCTTAGCCTGGGAGCTTTCCAGGACCAGCAGGTAGCAGCACACCCATGCACCTGCGTGCCTGCTCTCACTCACACACACCCCAGGCCCCTGGGCACACACTCAGTGTCTCCTATCACCCCTGCGCTGGAGTGATGGTGTCAGGTTTAGAGTCAGATGGAGGGTGGAATTCAGGCCTCTCAGGATGGGAATGATGCAACCTCCAGGAATATGAGAATGTGGCCAGAACAGGGCTAGTTAGTTAGTGTGTGTGTGTGTGTGTGTGTGTGTTTGTGTGTGGCTACATGTATTTGTGCAGTTCTATGGAGGAGGGAGTTCCCTCTATCTGCTCAGGACTTGTCCTGGAAGCCCACAAACTCTGCATCACCCAGATGCTCTCATATGTTAGCTATCCTTGGTGTGATTGGAAACCCTCAGTTGTGACAGTCAACTGCAGTGCACAGCCTGGATAACTGTACACCGCAGCCCTATCAAGAACCCACAGTCAGCCCAGCTCTGGAAGAGAAACCAGCTCTATCTCATCGGTACCTCAATTCCACATCTGAGAGCAGGAACCAGAAATGCTGAGACCCTTCAAAACAGGAGGAGAAGGGAGTGGAGGTGACAGGATCAGAACAGCTGCTGGCTGGCCACCCACTCTGTCCCAGTAAGAAGGGATAAGGAGATTGCAAACTGGGTAAGAAAATCCTCTCACCCACAGCTCAAGGCTGTAATCCGGGGCCTCGGCTCCTCTAAGCTTTGTTCTATTTTCACTCCTCTTCCCAAGGGGCGGTCTCCATTGGCTGCAAGGATTTAGTGGGGACTTTTAACACCAGTTCTCTGGCAGCCCCTGGATTTGGGTGTAGGCTAGTGCAGCCCCCGTTACCTTCTCCCTTCTGCTCGCCTCCTCCTGACATTTCTCTGTACTTTTTGATTCATCAGGCCCTTCCTTGCTCAGATCTGCAGGACTCAGGCCCGTGAGCAAGGTGGGCCCAGTGTTAGAAAGCCCGGCCACCTGGTACAGGAAAAGAGCCCATCCATCTTGGGCGTTGGCCTCCCGCCGGCCTCAGCAATGGGGAACATTATGGACGGTAAGTCGGTGGAGGAGCTGAGCAGCACCGAGTGCCACCAGTGGTACAAGAAGTTCATGACTGAGTGCCCCTCCGGCCAGCTCACCCTCTACGAGTTCCGTCAGTTCTTCGGCCTCAAGAACCTGAGCCCGTGGGCCACCCAGTACGTGGAGCAGATGTTTGAGACCTTTGACTTCAACAAAGTGAGCAGGGGTCTGGGTGGGGGGCACTGGAGGGACGCCCCTGGCCAGCATGGGGGTGGGGAGGAGCAGGTGTCAGCTGGAGGAGTGACTTCCGTTTATTTGGGTCTTTGTTTATCTGGGAGGTTGTGTGTCCACATCAGGGATTCCATGTTTCTCATGTTCATTAAGCACCTACTGTGAGCCAGGCACTGGGGGTTCAGAGATGAATCAGCCCTCGTCCCTCCCTCTCCAGGGGAAGACAGAAGCCCCCGATCAGTGTACTTGGAGGCTGAACCTAGCAACTTCCTCTGCCTCTTCCACACCCACTCTGTTTACTCTAGAACAAGTGTGAACACTTGCAAAACAGTCGTCAAGCACCTTGTAAGTGCTTGGTACTGTACGTGATGCTTTTGCACAGGCCTTTAGATGCTCCTAGGATGCAAGAGGAAGATGCGGGGAGAGCAGAGAGCAGAGTGATGAGCTTCAGCCCGGCTGGTCTGGGATGGGCAAGCCCATGTTGCTTGGGTCACCCGTGATGGTCTGTGGACAATAGAACTGGGGACAGTCAGGGTTGCCTGGTCACCAGGGAACACAGACCACTTCAACTCCAAAGTACCCAGTGACACCAGTTCATCCTAAGAGGGACTGAAGGTCTGCCCAGTGGTCACATTATATGTCTTCTCAAAGAATCACCTGGACACATTGGGTGAGGACTTCCTGAGAAGAGGGCACCAAAAGAGGGTTTGGGCCACCCATTAAGCCCATTTCCTCCCCATTACTGCCCCAGCTTACTCACCCAAATCTGACATGGATGTTGGGAGCATTAGTTAATCTGTTCCATTTATTTGGAAGAATTCAGTCAGAATGTGGTGGTAAAAGAGCCCAAATCCACAAACCAAGTTCCCCACCCCTGCTGGTCCCCACCCTGGCTGGTGCTCCCACGAAGGTGAGGACATGATGCTGCCACGTGTCCACTGCAGGTGAGGGAGAGGCTGCCCAGAGCTTCCCTGGCTCCCCTCACTGCCCAGAGTGTCCCAATACCATCGCAGGTGATGCTTCTAGGGAAAGCTGGGGCTCAGAGGCTATTTAAAACTCACTAATATTAGGATCAAGGGACCAAAGCAGATTATGGGCTTTGAGTCCTAGCCTCAAGGGCAGCATCGTCGTGCCCGAGGGCTTTCTTGTGACGGGCACGAGGGGCAGAATACTGGAGCCCGAGGTTTGAAGGCCAGGAGGGATTGTATCATCATGCCGGACCCCAAAAGTGCTCCAGAAGAAGTGATCTTTCCTGAAAGGGAGGGGGCAGACTCAGTGGTTGAGTCTCAACACCTTACATCCAAATGCATTGAAATAAATGGGCTTCTCACCTGCTAAGGAAACCCTTTGGGTCAAGACATGTCTCCGAAGGAACCCCTAAAATCACACTTATGACACCAGGTAGGGGAAACCCATCAACCCTGAGTCATTCATATGCCATCTCTTCAGTTTTTGACACATGCAAGCACCACCTGTACTGTCCCAAATCTGACCTCCTCAATTACACACACACCCCCGCCTTAGGGCCTGGGACTCTTCCTCCAGAATTCTGTTTGGCTCACAAGTCTCTGCTACAAGTCTCTGATCAACTGTCTCCTTTCCACTGACACCTGCCCTGATCTCCTGGGTTCAGTCCTGTCTAACTGGAACTAGCCCCGACCCTGGCATTTCTTAGTCCTCCCCTTTCCCCTCCGAGCACGTCTCATCTTATAATACATGATACTGAGTAACATTTAGCCACTGTGTTTACTGTCTGTCTCTCCTGCTGGAATGTGAGCTCCACAAGGGCACGGATTTTTGCCTGTCCATTGCTGTATCCTTTGCACCTAGAATAGTGCTTGGAACACAGCAGGTGCTTAATAAATATTTTTATATGAGTAAATGACTATATGAGAAATTATGAGTTTTATGGAACAGTTATGTATTACATACTATACATTAATTTAAATATATACTTGCTAAACTAAAGGGCGTCTTTGTGACATCTGAAGTGCCTTGTCCGCACCAGTAGCATAAATCACATTGGGCAACATTCCTCCTGCCCATTTTCACGTGCATAAAGCAGTTCAGCAGACTGGCTACGAGATGGGACACAGGACTGGGAAGCTTGGATACAGAGAGGAGTTAAACAGGGCAGTGCAGACAATGGCCCATTGGCCTATTTTTAGTAAATGAAGTCTTATTAGAACACAACACATCCGTTTTTGTCAAAACTGAACTATTGCTATTTGGCCCTTTATAGAAGAAGTTTGCCAGCCCTGAGGTAGAAGAGAGTTGTCTCCTAGGGTACTGTGCTGGGTGGGCAGGGTTGAGGGGTACAGCTGTAAGCAGGGAGTGTGACCTGGAGGACAAGTTTGGAGGGGAGGTGGGCAGAGGCAGGCCTGTGCTCCCTGCTTCCCTGACCCCATTGGTAGGGCTGGCAGGGCCAGGCAGAGGGTCAGCTGCTGAACTTTTGGAGGGCCCTGGGGAAATATCCCACAGGAATGTCTTGAACCACCTTCCCCCATGGCCAGTCCCTCCAAGACTCAATGAGGGCATTGCCGCCTCCAGGAAGCCCCTCTGCTGTCCTTGCCTGGGGCTCCCGTATTCTGTGATTCCATAATGTCCTGACCAGATATGTTGTCTCTGAATGATGTCATAGCGATCTCTTTATAATAATAATAGAAATAGTAGTAATAACAACAGCTAACATTTACCGAGTGCCTACCATGTGCCGGACAGAGTTGAGTGCCTTTTGTACATGAACTCTTTTAAGCCAAAGACAATCCCATGGAGCTGGGTACTGTTATAACTATTACAGATCAGGAATTTGAGGGCCAGAGACAAATTGAATCCTTTGTCCCAGATCCCACATATTTGAGAGGGTGGAGCCAGGATTCAAACCTGCATCCTTAGCACTGCGCTCTGGTAAGGACAGCATTCTGTGTTACTGAGTTCTGAATCCTCAGTCGATCACGGCACGCAGTAGCGTTCGCTGAGGCTTGAAGAATTACGTGAAGGGTGAGAAAGGGGCTATGTGCCTCCCTATCTACCTTTAGCTCCTACCCGGGCTCCTTAGAGCTCATCTAAACCACATCCCCATCCCTGCGGGGGTCGGTGTCTCTCCTCCCACGTACACACATCTTGCACTCCATCCCAGACAGTAAGGGCTCAAGTTTGAGGATCACAGGGAAGCAGCCGGTGACTGCCAGAATCAATACCTGTGAAGAGACAGCACCAGCCATTCACATCCCAGTGGGGCTTGGCTTATCAGATTTGATCAGCAGCCTCTGGGGCAGGCAGTGTGGGCTATGCGGGGTGTCCTGGAGGATGAAAAGGAATGGGCGCCAAGGGGCAGGGGCGCTGGTCGGGGTCTCTGCTCAGCATCTGGGGCCTTGGAGGCGGGGCTCTGAGGGCGGGACTGGGGGGCGGGTCCCGGGCACGAGTGGGCTCAGGTGGCCACGCCCCTCGCCCAGGATGGCTACATCGACTTCATGGAGTATGTGGCAGCGCTCAGCCTGGTCCTCAAGGGGAAGGTGGAACAGAAGCTGCGCTGGTACTTCAAGCTCTACGACGTGGATGGCAACGGATGCATCGACCGAGACGAGCTGCTCACCATCATCCGGGTAACTCCAGGTGCAGAGGGCCGGGCAGGTGCGGGGCCGGGGCTGAGAGCCCCGGGCTGGGGTTTCAGCCGGCAGAACGTGCTCGGGAAGGGGCAGGACTGGGATTGAGGGTCCCTGTGGCGGCTGAGGCCCTCACCAGCTGCGTGACCTGGAACATGTTTCCTCCCTTTCCTGGACCTCAGTTTCCTCTTCTGTACCAAAAGTCCGTGGAAGCGCAGTCCCAGCTATGCCTGAGGCCTCGAGCGCCTTGACCTCTGCTCCCCAAGGGTGTTGGGAGCCTGACGAGCACTCTCTGTCCCACTCCCACGGCTGAGATGAATTAGGATGGGTGCTCTCACTTCTTCCCCTTCTTCCCTCCCAGGCAATCCGAGCTATTAACCCTTGCAGCGACTCGACCATGACTGCAGAGGAGTTCACCGATACAGTGTTCTCCAAGATCGATGTCAATGGGGATGGTGAGGCCTCAGTGGGGGTCCCCAGGGATGTCGCCAGGGGAGAGGGGCAAGAGGGAAAAGGGCAGCACAGAGGGGCATCTGCTGGCCACCTCCTCCGCCTGCCTCCGCCCCAGCCACAGAGCTGGCTTTTGGGGCTCCCTGAACCAGACTTTGGTCTCTGGCTTCTTGGCCTCCTCTGCTCACAGCCACTTCCCCCAGCCTTAGCTCTGGCCCCCTTGCAAGACTGCAGCTCTGGGCGCCCAACAGCAGACGTGAACACCTCCTGCCCATGATTCCCTTTCTCTCTACCCCAGGGGAACTCTCCTTGGAGGAGTTCATGGAGGGCGTCCAGAAGGACCAGATGCTGCTGGACACACTGACCCGAAGCCTGGACCTTACCGGCATTGTGCGCAGGCTCCAGAATGGAGAGCAGGATGAGGAGGGGGCTGGCGGTGGGGAAGCGGAGGCAGCGGAGGCAGCTGGCTGAGTGAGCCCACCGCGCAGCTGCTTCTGGACTGGGAATGTGTATGTGGTGGTGCCTGGTGTCTCACTGTTGTTTTAATACTAGATAGAGTCTACTGAACTTAAAGGCTCAGCTCACCTCTTCTGGGTGCATGGTAGCAGCAGAGGGGCAGGGGTGGGGGTCCTGAGCAGGGCACATTGATGGCACCCTCTGTATGACTGGCCTGGAAGTGACCGCTCCCTGCTGGGGTCAGTCCTCAGCATCTGTCAGGCTCCTCCCCAGCCCCTTCTGGCACCTCCCCCAGCTTTTACCAGCTCTCCCACTTAGTCTCTCCAGTTCCACTCTTCCAGACTCGGAAGCTCTGAGGCAGAGAGAGAAGGGCTTCCTGGGACTCACGGAATCCCACGGCATGGTGGTTGCAGCCTCCATCTGGGCGCTATATCACACACTCATCCTGCCCCCAGGATCCCAGAGCCTACTTATGTGGTCTGTGTTGATTCGTTCCTCCCCTCAACAAGCATTTATCGAACACCTACTCCAAATTAATGCTAGATGTTAGATAGGCAAAGAGAACAGTTCTCATGCTCAAGGAACTCACAGGCTAAGCGTCATAATAAAATACACTAAGAGAAAGTACGATGCTATAGAAAGTCCTCCTTTATCCAGAGGAAATCCATGTTACTTCAGAAGTGACAGCACAACACTCTCATTCTTCCCCCACTGGCCCCTCCATGGCATGTGGTGCCACGTGGTTCTCCGTGGGATTTTGACTCATTGCTTATGGCAAGTGTCCTGACCATCCCTGGTCTAACCTAAATCCCTCTTGCTGCGGTGACACCTGACACCTGTTGGGAAGTGGAGCAGTCTGTTCCAGGTGGGTCCTAGCCCCATTCTTGGCACACCCCGACTTTAACAACACCTGTCCAAGAACCTGGGGAGAGACATAGGCTGGAGCAGTTGTGACCAACTTTTCAAAGATGCTCTTTCTTCTGAATTGTGAGACTTCACATCAGCTGGGTGCGGGGGAAGTGCAGGGAGTAAATAAAAATACAGGGATGGGAGGGAGCAAACAAGGGGAAAGGCGATGAAGCCTCAGCTTGCAGAGAGCCCCTCGGGGGGGAGGAGAGGGTGCGGTTCGTTCACACCCATCTTGTCCATCCCGTGGGCCATCCCAGACTGGGAAGTCAGCCAGGGCCTGAGCACAGACATGGAGGGAAGGTGGGAAAGGGACAGTCTGGAAAGAAAGGGGGTTGACATTTCTGCTGCTTCTCTTGGTGGCAGCCACTTGGGAGATCCTGGAGGTCAGAGCTGGGGGGGTATTTGAACAGAAATAGGACATTTCCCCAACCGCATTTACATACCACCTTCATGATTTGGGGGCATATCTGTGTTCAACTGGATTACTGATTCTTTAACCAACTGCTTTTTACTTTACATTTATTTCTTTTGTTGGAGGAGGTAATTAGTTTTGTTTATTTGCTTACTTATTTAATGGAGGTACTGGGGACTGCATCTAGGACCTTATGCATGCCAGGACACGCTCTACCACTGAGCTCTACTCTCTGCTACATTTATTTCTAAAGGAAGCTTTATATACATGGACATCATTCCCATGAAATTACAGGCTCAACAAGTTAGTTTTATTCTTCACATATCAACACAAACACATATCTATTCACATGAGTTCCTTTTCTGAGTTCTTCAGCACCCGCTGTAACCAGAGCGACTGCTTTTTAATCTAGTTTCTGTACTGGGATTGCAGATAAAGCTTGTATGACAAAAAGAATTCCACATCTAAAAAAATAATAATCTGAAAACAGCGTGTCTAGTCCAACCGGCTCCGCGTGCAGATGAGATAACCGAGGTTAGGGAAGGGAAGTGGCCGTCTTAGGTCACCTAGCTGATGGAGGCAAAGCCTGGCCTAGAACCCAGGGTGGCAGGTGCCCAATTCTCCCCAGAGACAGAGGAAAGTTTTCTCCGTCCTTTAAGGAGACACATTTGGCTTGTGGGCTTGTGACTGAGATTTGTGGAGGGTCCATGCTGGGGGGTGGGGGTTGGAGAGGTGAGTGTGAGGATGAGGGGTGGAGAGGGGAAAGAAGGGTTGGGGTGGTGGTGGCAGGTGTTGGTGGGGTGCAGCACCAGGGCGGGGCTAAAATAGCCCCTTTAAGCACAACTGACCCCCCACTAAGGGCAGGAAGACCACAGCCTTTCTTGTTGCAAGTTTCCCTACTAATACCCCTGGGGAGGACAACTTGTAGAGGAAGAGACAAGAGCCCTCCCATGAACACTCAGGGTCCTGGGGGGATGTAATTATTATCCACCCCTCCCCCCAACTCCTACCTTTCCTTCAGAGTCAACATCACCTGCCAGCCCCTCCCTTCTACTAATCAGTTTCGCACTGTGGGGCATTCTCATTGCTCATTTGGTCTATGGGACCCTCCCCACCTCTCAGTTTTCCCTGCTTACAGCTAAGAGCCATGTAGGAATTTGTGGGAGCCCCACAATCACCTAGCCAAAGCGTAGCTTTCCCAGGAGCCACTGAGAGGGCAGAGGAAACCAGTTCCCGTCTCCACCCCGGAAATCCTCCCAATGGACCAGACCCTATTGACTATTTTAGACCAATGGCCCCTCCCCTCCCCACTCAGCCCCACCCCCTGCACAAGGGGTGCTAGGAAGTCCAAGCCAGGATGACAGTGGGCCTAAGCTGGCCGAGCCAGGGAGCCTCCCTCTCCTCTGGAAACGTGGTGAACCTAGAGTCTTGGAGGGCTCCCAGGGCCCCAGACCCCTCAGAACATGGCGCTTTTCCGCCTCGGCTGAGAGATCCAGCTACCGGGATTCAGGTCCATTTGCAGCATCTTCATCACCCACTTGTCACGACGGGCACCTTCAATGAACTCATTCAGAGACAGCTGGCCTGAGCAAGGGGTAGGAGAGACGGTCATGGGAATGGGAGAAATGGGGGTGGGGGCAAGAGGCAAGGCCTTGTCTCCTGGGATGCGCCCACACCTCTTACACAGACAGCCTGCAGTCTCAGGACCTAAGCTTGGGCCTTGTCAATTCTCCCATTCTCCGGGAATCTCCTGGAAACTTCAAGGGTTTCTTTTTTTCCCCTTTATATATATTTTTATTGAAGTATAGTCAGTTTACAATGTTGTGTCAGTTTTTGGTGTACAGCATAATGCTTCAGTCATACATGGGACTTTCTTTGCAAATGGATTAAGTTTTACTTTTGCCCAAGGGGCCCTCAAAATGTTCTTGAGGGCTCTTCTGGGGTGTTCCCAGCCAGCTTCCTCCCTGCACAGCCTGGGGCCAGGGCTCTCAGCTATGGAGAGGAGAGTCCAAATAGCCTTAACAGTGGCTCTTACTTATGTACATGACCCCATTTATTCCCTTCAACCATTCTTATACCCATTTTCCAGATGAGGAAACTGAGACCAGTCTGAGGGTAAATGGAGCATCCCAACCTTCCTAACTCCAAAGCTCCTCTTTTTTCCACTACACTTGCCTGGCCTCCATCAGCAACTCCAACAGGAGTGTTAATCACACGCACAAATCCCCTGTGTTAGTGACACCCTTTGTTATTTTATGTAACCCTCTCCACACTCATCACACTGTTGGGAGGTGAAGGGCCTCCCCTAACTAAGGTGAAGTGGGGGTGCTCCACAGCAGGCAGCTCCCCCCACCCCCCGGCCACCTCCCGCCAACATCCTCTCTGCCCCTGTTACCATCTCCGTTCTCATCCACCAGAAGGAAGATCCTGTCCACGACCTCCTCGGGCGTGAGCAGCTGCTCTTGCTGCTCGGCCTCCGTCTCCACCCTGCAGGCTTTCTTCAGCTTGTAGATGGACTGCGGGAGAGAACCCGGCGGCATCCACGAGACCCTGCACGCTCCTCCCCCTCCCCCAGGACCCACGTCCCTCAGCACCTCCTCCCTAGCGCTCCCCCCACCCCCGCTGTGCATCTGAGGACCACAGGACCCTGATCCAAATCAAAAGTGACCTGTGCTAAGGCTGCTCCCACTGGCCTAATTCCAACCGAGGTGTTAGCCTTCACAAGATGCCTCCATCCCTATGCCACTGCTGTTTCCACTGTAAGCGTCTTAGCCAACACTCAAAACCTCTAATGAGGGATGCGGACAGCACAGTGATGGTCTAAACCATCAAGATTCAGAGAGGAAAAGATAATTTAGTGTACTTACGGATGTGTGTGTATGTGTGTGAAATAGGATGCCGGGAGATACAGGTGTTTGGATTGGAGGGAAAAGAACAGGATTCTCCTTTGCCCTATTTCCTCTGGCAACGAGGCCACGTTTGAAAGTGAAATAGGGAGGAGACAAAAGAATGTGAGGATTATCCTTAGTCCTTGGCTGGGCGCTCTCTGAGGACAGACGCATGCCTCGTGGATCTCCTCTGGCCTTACCTCCCAGCACAGCGCCTGGCACAAAGCTGGCCCCACTAACAGTGCTGGGGAGCTTCAGGGGTTACAGGCAGCCCAGCGCCTCCCGGTGGGTGAACTTGGACAAACCACACAACTTCCGTGGGCCGATTTCCTTATCTATAAAATGGACCGACAACCGCCACCTCGGAGTGCAGTTCTGGGGAACACCAGGTTCCCGCAGGTAGCGTGCAGGGTCTGAGCTGCAGGACTTCTTCCCCTGGCTCATTCTTGCTAGCAGTCCATCAGCTTTGCTAACCTTTGCAAAGAACCAACTGTTGTTTTCGTTGACTTTTCTTGTGCCTTTGTGTTCTGTTTCATTAACTTCTGCTCTTTATTAGCTCCTTTGTTTTTCTTTCTTTGGACTTAGTTTACTCTTCTTTTTTCTAATTTCTTGAGATGACTTCTCAGAGCATTGATTTTCAGCCTCCCTTATTTTCTAGTATATACGCTTTAAGGCCACAGATGTTTCTGCAAGCCCAACTTGAGCTGCATTCCACGGGTTTTGTTATGATTGCATTATTATTCAGTTCACAATACTTGGTGTGTACGTATGTGTGTGTGTGATACTATTTTTTGATTTGTGGAGCATTAGGAAGTAGATCGCCCAATTTCCAAACAGATGGGGATTTTCTTGGTCTCTTTTTGTAACTGGTCTCTAGCTTAATTTCACTGGTTGGAAAGTGGTTGGAAAGCACACTCTGAATAATTCCAATGCCCCTTCCCATCCCCAGCCCCAGGGGAGGGGCCCCCACTTTAGTGGCCAGCACTCAGCACCCAGCAGTGCCCAGGTGCCTGCCCCGCTCCCCCTACCCCCAGACACTGACCTCCACGATGTCCAGCATCTCTAAGCGGTCGATGCAGCCATTGCGGTCCTTGTCATAGATCTTGAAGGTCCACTTCAGCTTGTGCTCCAGGGTGCCCCTCAGCACAAGGTTCAGGGCTGCCACGTACTCCAGGAAGTCGATGGTGTTGTCCTGCATTGGCAGTGGGAACTATGAGGCTCCCTCCCACCCGGAGCACAGGTGTGAGCCCTGTTCTAGGCCACCATCCCTACAAACTCAGGACTTCGCCTCTTCCTCTTGTTCCGTGTGCCTCTGCATCTGTGCTCGTACTGGTCTCCACCCTGAGATCCATTCCCAGACTCCATGATCACTCAGTCCTACCTGTCCTTCAAGGCTCAGCTCAAGGGTCCCCTCCTCCAGGTAAGCCTTCCTTCTTATACCACTTCAGCCCCGGTGATCTCTCTCCCTCTTCTGACATTCACAGCACCTACCACTCACTCTACGGTTCACTGCTTCATTAAGTATGTCCCATTCTCTAGCTACATCATGTGCTCCAGGAGGAAGGAGAGGGCTTTACATTGCTTTTGTTCCTCTTCCCTGCCTAGCTCAGTGCCACTTCCACCCAGAGTCCCGGTCTCTTATGAGATTTTTATGAATCAGTGAAGAAATGATTGACTTAAGTCTGAATTTGAGACTAACGTAATTTTGAAAGGAGATTAGAAAGCAGGACCTCATGCATTTCCGGGTAGGGAGCTCAGGTCTCCAGATCAAAAATTGGAATCATTAGCTCCCCCAGGAGTGTCTGTCATTCACATGACTTTGTAATCAGAAATGGCTTCACTGGCCCAGAGCGCCTCTCTCCCACTGGGTCAGGCTACTTGGAAGCCTCAGTCCCAGATCAAGGGGTGTCTGGGTGTGCAAGGTGTGAGCAACAGGAGAACACGGCCGAAAATGAGGGAAATAGCAAAAGCCCAAGGAAAAACCAAGAAAATAAAACAAGCCCACCTCAACACCTGAGGAGTTTTAGTCAGCATCCTTCAGGTGATTCCTCTGGTCCCCAACACTCCCCACCATATATTTACCTAATTGAGGTCAGACCAGCTATAGTCTTAGTTCCTGGATTTTTATTTTAAAATTGCCCATGCCTTCAAAACTATTTAAACTTGTCCTTTTTTTTTCTCTCTTTTCTTTTTGAAGAATACTGCGCAGTCCCTCTTAATGAACATGGCTTTGAGATTTAACATTACACAATGAGCATCTTTGGGCACATGTATGTTTTCTTACGTCTCTAGTAATTTCTGTAGGGTACCTTCTTAGCAGTTGCTGTTTGTTCCTTTTTCACCCACTGGTCTTTAATGCACTGTTTTTGTAGGTACACAGCTCTATGGGTTTTTAAAAATTGAAGTATAGTTGACATGGAGTATTATATAAGCTCCAGGTGTACAATATTGTGATTCACAATTGTTAAAGGTTATACTCCATTAATAGTTATAAAATATTGGTGGTATTTCCTGGGTTGTACAATATATCCTTATAGCTCATTTTATATTTAATAATTTGTACCTCTTAGCCTCTACCCCTGTATTGCCCCTCCCCTCTGGTTCTACGAAATTTTGTAGGTGTGAGTAACTATCAACACAAAGAAACTCTCTTATGTTACCTCTTAAGAGTCACATCTTTCTCCCAACCATAACGCGTGGTGACCACTGATCTGTGCTCCATCATGATAATATTTTCACTTTGGGAATGCTATGTAATCATACAGTAAGTCATTCCTTTTTTCACTCAGCACGGTGCCCTGAGGTTCATCCTAGTCTGCACGTGTATCAACAGTTCCTTTCTTTTTATTGCTGAATGGTGCTCAGTTGTTTGAATGGTCCCTAGTTTGCTTTCTGTTTGCTCATTGAAGGTTATTTGGCTTGTTTCTGGGTATTTTTCTGCCAGCTTTATTGAGATGTAATTGCAGAATAGCCTTTTAAAGGACATTGTGTGAGTTTAAGGTGTACAATGTGATAAATGGTTGTTCTTTAAAAGGCTATTTTTATGAGTAATTATTATTTATTAAGCTTACTAAAATAGAACTTATGTTTCTTTTTTAAGAAGAATTGAGTAGGAAGATGTATGCAGAATGGCTGGTAGGGATCATCTATTTTACATACATCATCTCCCTCAGGTCTGTTATCCCCATTTTATGGATGAGGAAACTGAGACTCAGGTTGAATAAGTTGCCCAAGCAATTCCCACCCAGCAAATGGTAGAGTCTTTCAAGCTACATGCCTTCTCCGGTTCATCAGATGCGGAGAATTTTCTTTTCTGCAAGGTCTATTACTGCCTAAAAAATGAGCCTGATGTCTAGCACCGAGGGGAGAAAAATGAAAACAAAACCCCAAAACCACTGACAAATCCCTATTCTCCAGATCTCTAGATTCCCCCACATTCTCTGTCTAGAATCTTCTGTTTTCAACATCCTGGCTCAACATGAAACGGTTTCCACAATGACCCCCTCGCCTTACACGAGGCACATTGTGAAGCAGCCCCTTCCTGACAAGTGATCTCACCTGCGAGTTTACTTCAAACCCCGCCCCGCCGGACCAGTTCTGGAAAGCTTCCAGCTGGGGCTAATCTCATCCGCTGCGCCCAGGCCCTTGTCAGCTTCAATTACTCATGGGGACCCAAGATGATGGAAATGCCTGTCTACTCAAGAGCTGGAGCAGAAGTGACAGGCGTGTGATCTGCTGTGTGGGATTACCTGCCTCGTTTCGTCCTGAATTGGCTGCTTGTGTGAACCAGCCCTGAACCCCCAACACTTATTACGTAAGGATCCCGAATGATATTCGAGCTTCACCCTCCCCTTTCTTTCATTTCAGTACATCACAGGCAAGCACCGCGGAGGAGCATTACTGCCCCACCCGGAGGGGGAGCAGCAGCACAGACCAGGTGCTCCTACCTCCTTGCCTCCACCAAAACCCTGGTTCCCCCACCCCAGATTTTGACGTGTGAGCTAGATCTATGAACTCTTTTGATTTGATTTCCCCCAGGAATCTCAGACCACTTGCCCACAACCGAGCCCTGCTGATATAAAGACTGTGCCAAGGTGGGAAGTGGAGTTGGATATGTGTTTGGAGACACAGACTAAGTGGGAAGAGAAAGGAAAGAAGGCTCAGCCCCTGACAGAGGAACTGAAAACACCTGCTAGGAGAGTGCTTACTTACGGCAGGATGCCAGCTAACAAACAAAGAAGGGACAGCGGAATTAGAGAATTATGAGTGGATGCCCAACCCAGTAGATGAACATTTAATGAGTAACAGGATAGTTATTTAGTCTCAAAGTACCTCTCTCTGAGATGCTGATTAATCACAAAGGAAAAAGAGTCACTTTACAGAGGCAGGAACTGGCAGAGGCCACATAACCAAATGATTGAAGTGAGCCACTCCATTAATGGAACAAACCAGCATCATATGCCCCCAAGATGATGCACGAGGAGGACACAGCGTCCCTTCTGGGGCATTTCTGCCAGAAGTGCAACCCAAATCTCTTCACAAGGCAAGGCCAACCCAAATAATGGACCTGCAGTCTTCAGAAATGTCAGTCAAGTAAGATAAAGAAAAGCTGAGATTAAAAGTTTCAGGGAACTAGATTCAATACCTTGTAGTAATTTATGGTGAAAAAGAATATGAAAACCAACATAGGTATGTTCCTATATGACTGAAGCCTTGTGCTGCACACCAGAAATTGCCACAACCCTATAAACTGACTATACATCAATAAAAAATATATTTAAAAAAAAAAAGTTTCACATTAGGGGGAGGTATAGCTCAAGTGGTAGAGTTTCTGCTCAGCATGCGCAAGGTCTTGGGTTCAATCCCCAGTACCTCCACTAAAAATAAATTAACTTAATTATCTACCCCCAAGATTAAAAAAAAATTTTAAAAAAAGTTTCAAATTAAAGGCTAAGGAAGAGACAGGACAAATAAACGCAATATGTGATCAAACAAACAAAAAAGCTATAACGTATGTCACCAGGATAATCAACCAAGCTTGAAAATGGGTTGGCAATTATATGATAGAGTTTGTTAATGTTGAATTTCTTGGTTTTGATCATTTATTAGGTTAAGATAAAGACCTTAGTCTTAGAAAATACACACTAGAATACTTGGGGTAAAAGGGTGTCATGTCTATAATTTTTGCTAAAAATATAGGTGTATATTTTTAGGCATGATATACACACATATGTACATGTTAGATATTACGTGTATGTACATATACATGTATAATACATTACACACAGAGACTGGTAAACCAAGTGAGGCAAAATGTAATCAGTGGGAGAATTTGGATAGATTGTACATGGGAGTTACTTGTACTATTATCATTTTTCTGTAAATTTAAAATCATGTCAAAATTAAAAAGTTATTTTAAAAACAATTGATGAAAGAGGGGAGGGTATAGCTCAAGTTGTAGAGTGGATGCTTAGCATACACAAGGTCCTGGGTTCAATCGCCAGTACCTCCTCTGAAAAATAAATAAGTAAACCTAATTACCTGCCCCCTAAAAATAGATAAATAAATAACAATAAAGCAAAAAAAATTTTAAACAATTGATGAATATTATATGCCGATTTATAGGAAGAGATGAGGTATAAGAGGTTCAGCTCTATTACTCCCAAGGGCTTAATAACTCCTTTTAGATCTTGAATTGTTATTATGTTGACTTTTAAATGAATATGGAGAAGATTGATATGATTATCTAGTGAGCCTTGCCATATACGGCCTGATTATTTACTTTTCTTATGACATTCAACACTTCAAAAAAAATTTTCTCTCTTAAAAAAGGAAAAGGAAAAGACAACCAACAAATAGCCGTCTGTGCAGGAGCACTTTCCTGGGACTCAGGACCCTGAGTATATGATCTTGGACAAATCAGTTCACTCCCTTCTGCTCCAGTTTCCTTATCACTGCATTTGGAATAACAGCCTCTGCCTGTTCCCTCCCAGGGCTGCTGCGGACTCAGAGGAGCCCATGGAGAGGAGCTTGGGGAAGTCTGAAGCTCACTTGGGGCCCCGAGAAGGCGTTTATCAGGGTTCATCTCCACGGAGGTTTCTGTTGCAGGGAGGACGGTGACCCCGCCCTCTCACCCCGAAAGGCGCTGGGATGTGCGCTGGCTGGTACCAGGGACAGGGTCGGACCTGAAGCAGCATCCCAGTGACTCACTCTAGAAAGCGAAGCTCTCCCCGCACAAAGAACTGGGGTACTGACGCTTTCTCCAGATTAATTACCTAGGTCCAGTCCACGTCCCCCTCAACTGGGGGGACTGAAATAGGTATTTGAGGCAAACCCAATGGTTTAAAGAATTACAGAGGCGTTGGACTGGATGGCCTTAAATAATGAAGGGGTTTCCATTTTTAAATTCAGTTCCCAGGGTCATATTTACAAAATATATTATCTTCTTAGCTCCTGGTGGCATCCACGGACTTGAGGAAATCCCCTGGGTGGATAATTGTATGGAATCTTTCATGGCTTGAAGAGCAGAAAGGGACTTTTGCAATAATCCGTCCAACCTCCCAGTCCCGGCAGGAGCCTCGTCCGCGCATTACTGGAGGGAAGAGCGGACCGGTCTCACTTCGAAGGACCCCGACAAAGGGGCGCTCATGAGCTGTGCCAAGATCCTGGGTCCGTTTAGCACCGCTCTGGAGTCCCTTCAGAATGACCGGGGCTCCGGAGGGCGTGAAGAACCAGGTTCTCTGGCTACAGAGGCCTGGCCATAAATACACGGAGAGAGGCCTGGACCGTGTGCCTTTCTGCAGAGTGCCTTCAGCTCTCAGGAAGAGGAAGAGGAGAGCGGAGAGATGAAGAGGAGAGCGGAGAGGTGGAGAGGAGAGAAGAGAAGACAAGAAGGAAGAATGATGGGAGAGAGGGAGACAGAAAAGGCGAGAGGGGATTGGAGAGGAAAGTAGAGCAGGAGAAGAACAGGCAGACTGGGAGCCGGAACTCCCACCGAGGATGCTCCTTTAGCTCAGGGATGAGACCTGAACCATCGGTCCTCCCCTTCAGGGCGCCTTACCCCATTCCTGTCGAAGGCTCTGAACATGCCCTCTACATACTGGGTGGCCTCCTCGTTGCCTGCGACCTTGAAGAAGCGCTTAAATTCGTGCATGAAGAGCGTCCCGCTGGGGCACTCCTCCAGGAACTTCTTGTACCACTCCTGCAGCTCTGCCACGTCCACCGCACGGCTCTCCGCCTCCTCCCAGCTGAACTGCTGCCCCATCCTGGAGCCCAGAAGGTCAGGGAGCAAGGGTCTGTGCCTCCTCCCTGGCTTCTTCCTATCGATTCTTTAGGCTCTGGCCCTCTTCCTCCCTCGCCTCTGCTTAGCCAGCTTCTTTCTTCATCGTCTCCTGTCCAACTGAACAGGATGGGCAGTGCAGGGAGCTGGTGGCAGTTGGGCAGGACCAGCCTAGCTAAGCGCCCTAAGATCATTAGAAGATTCCCCTGGAAGGTCCGACCTCCAGTTGGCTAAGCTCCCCTAGCCTCACCCCTCCCTTTCCTCTTGTCAACCACTCAGCTAAGCTGATTCTGAAGATGGAAAGGGGAGGAAAACCGAGAAGTAGGCAGAGGGAGGGAGGAGTAGTGAAGACGAGTTGGGAAGGCAGGCTGAGACCCTCCCATCCCACATAGGCTCCCTGTCGCTTTCCTTGGGTACCACGCTGCTCCAGAATCTATGATGTGAAGGGCTCTGGCAGAGCAGCTCTGTCCCCAAGCTAACTCCGTCCCCAGTACGATATCTGAAGCTCCATCACAGATCATGCCCGTGAGTCTAAAAAGTTTTCCATTTCCCAATTTAAAGTACAAATGCTTCTCTCCTACACCCTCCACCCAAGATCTATCAAGCGAGCAGGGCTTTTCCCACTTTTTCTCCAGAGTGACCATATGAGGAGGATCTGGGAGTGGGGCTTGTATCTCCGATGGCTCTTAATTTTATATTAAAGATTTATGCAAAGTTGTTTTTGAATCAATTCTAAACTCATGTTTATTTTAACATAACATAAAAATGACCCCACCAAGAAATCAGCAAACCTGGAGCACTGATTTTTTGAGGAGATTTTAGGGTCAGTCCTTCCCTGGTGTCTCACTGCCTGCCTGCCATTGGACGTTCATGCCCGAATGGCTTTGTCCATTCCAGGCCCGAGCCCCCACCCTCAACTCCCTGCCTCCATAGGTCCCTCATCTCTCAAAGTTCTTCTAACTTCCTTGCCATTCCTGAAGGAGGAAGTGCACTTCCTGTGTCATCTTTTCAAGTACTGATGGGTTTTTCTTTCAAATCAGACATTCCTCGGGGTCTGGAGAGGAGGGATGGCCTCCTCCTTGTTCAGTTGTTGCCTCCACCTTTTTCCCCTCAAAAATGCCTGTCGTTTTAGGGCCATGTCTGACTCCATCCCCCTTGTACTCATCCTTGGAGCCATCATTCACTGGTGACATCACTGTTCGACTTAAAGCATCAGGAGGACATCAGGTCCATCCCACCCTCTGGCTGCAAAGGCTCTTGATCTGTCCAGTTCCAAAGAGCTTTGCTTCCACCCCACCTTGGACCCATTCACTGTGGCCCCTGGGCCAGCAGCTGCAACATGTGGGAGCTTGTTAGAAATGCAGGTTCTCAGGCCTCCCTCTCCTAGAAGGAAGAATTTAGGGGATGGTGCCACAACCTGTGGGGGTTTAAAAAAATTTTTTTAACTTCTTTTTGTTTGTGTGTGTATGGGGGTGGTGTAATTAGGTTTATTTATTTATTTTTTAATACAGGTACTGTGGATTGAACCCAGGATCTCATGCATGCTAAGTATACACTTTACCACTGAGCTATACCCTCCCCCTCCACAGCCTGTGTTTTAACAAGCCCTCCGGGTCTTCCAAGGCATCTGAAGTTTGAGAATCACTACTGTTGGCCTTGCTACCATGAATTTTTCTACAGAGCATCTGAAACATTCAGAGACCAACATCACCTCTCCGTCTACTCATTCGAACAGCTTCACTGCTCCAACTCACCAGCCTTACTGAGACTTCCAACCTGTTGATCTCTACGTTTTTAAATATCTGTCATAGCCTCACTTTCCTCGTTATGCTTCGCCACGGCCCAGAACTCTTGTCATTTCCTTGCCAAGACCTGGTCTTTTCTCCCCACTCTCCCTCTGACTATTCACTTGCCCAAACCTGAAGTTGGCTGTGGCCATCCGCCAACGATGCACTGACACCCCGTCGGCACCCACGAGGCTGAACACAGCTGGAGAAATTCAGAAAATATGCTGCAGGTAGTACCAGACAGTCGTTCTGCAGGCTCTCCTTGGCTGACTTTACCTTGCCTTCTTGGAGGTGACTATTTCATGGCGCTTTCTGCCCTCAGAACTTCCCCTTGCGCCCATGTTCAGCTGATGACTTTGTCACATACTTCATTTCACAGAGAAGTGGGTGCATCAGACAACCTCCTCATCCTCCACCGCAGACACACCTCCCTGCACCGGGCTCACACCCTTTGCCTCTCTTCCTGATTTGATGGAGGCAGCGTCCCTCTCCCCGCGCCCCACCTGACAGCTCCTCCGCCTGTTGTCTGGATGTCACTTCCCTTTACCTGCTCAAGCCCTGCACGTCCACAGGAGCCCCTTTCTCTTCTGCAGCCTCCATTTATCCATCACTAATGGATCAGCCCTGTCTGCAGACAGACTTACCTATCACCTTTATGAAAACAAAATAAAACAAAACCCACATTCGGGGTCCCGTCATGACTTTCCTGGGCCTGCCCACTTTTGCCTTCACAGGTCATAAGATAAATATGGATAATTAAATATTACAAAAGTAAATATTAATAATGCTATTTTATCACTCATTGGTATAAAGATGAATATAAATAACCCAGTCCAGTCTAGACTATCTTATATTAATTCTTTCTTCTGATTTTAAAAGAAATTAAAAACATTTAAAAGAAATTGAAGATACTGTGGGCCCAGGCCCTGAGCCTACTGGGTCCCTTGGCCCCGCCGAGAACTCCTGTCCTCGAGCTACTGTACTAACTGTGGCTCCCTTTACAACGAAACCACTCGTGGAAGATGTTACTTTCTGAAAATGGCACAGCAATAGACCTGGTCTCACATGTTCATCTCATCAAGGGGAAGAGTCTGTTTCTCCATCTCTTCAACTTGGATTGGACTTTGTGGTACCCAGTGAAGAGAATGGGCAGAAGTGTCACCATGTGACTTCCAAGGTGTGGTCATCAAAGGTGATGGGGTTTGCACCCGGCTCTCTTTCAGGACCCGTCCTTGGAACACGGCCACCATGTTGCGGGGAAGCCCAGAGCACACGCAGGGATCCCGTCTGACAGCCAGCTTCAACCACCAGCCATGTGGGTGTGGGAGTGAGTGACCCTAAAGACGACCCCAGCCCCAGCCTTCCAGACAACCCAGCTGATACTAAATGGAGCAGACAGTGTCCCCACAGAGCCTGGACCAAACTGCAGCTCTGCATTCAAAGTGGATGTCATGAAGCCACTAAGTGCTGGGTGTCTCTTAAGGCAGCGATAGACAACTGAGCATGTTTTGCATCATCTTCCTTTCTTATTCTCTCCTCAACTTACTCCAGCTGGAAGCTCATCCTCATCACTCTGTGGAGAAGACTCTACAGTGGGGACCAATGACCTACTTTTCTTACTCAACCTGCCAGCAGATTCAGCACCGCTCTCCGGGTGAGTCCTTTCTTCAAACATTCTAGATTTCAAGGACCTTCATGCATTGATCGGTCCTGCTGCTGGGACTGCTCTTCCCCAGACCCTCACATGGCCCCCTCCTTCTGGACATCCTCCCCTCCCCAGAGAGAACTTTCCCAGCCTCGCCTCAGGTAGCTACTCAAGTGACTCTGACATTACTTACTTTACTTGCTTCATAGTGCTTTACTGCTTCTGATCTTATTACCTTTCCCCCCATTATGTCTTTCCCACTAGTCTAAGGTCCTTGAGGAGAGGGACTTTGCCATACACACTGCAGAATTTCCAAAGCCTAGAACAGTGCTTGGCCCAGACAAGGAGCTCGAAGCCTTGTTAGGTGACTGAGCAAAGTGCTTGGCATAGTCAGTGCTGAACTCATGTGAGCTAGTACTTCTTAACTTCACAGGACAACTGCTCTTGACTCCTTTGAGAGTGCCTGGGTTAGCAGGGCTTTGCTGATGTGAAAAGATCCTGGGACTTTAGAACTGGAAGAGGCCTCCGTGCTTTTCAACCTTGTACCTGTCTCATCACATCTGAAGACAACACCCGCCAGCAGCCGCTGTGGCTCCGTGTGAAGGTGGTGTCTTCCCCGTCCGGCTCTTGAGTTTATTGCTATTGAAGCAACAGTGAGGAGTGGTTAAAGGACAGCACCTGTGCTCAAGAGAGTGTATGAGTGAAATTGAACTTGATTTAGCCTCTGGCCGAGGAATTGAAAATTCAATTGGCTTTTCATGTGGGTCAGTTGCCCATGACCTGCCCTTAAATACCGCTGAGCTGTTGAGGTGTAAATATATCCTTTTAAAGAGGATTAGGATTCCGGAGAGAATGATAGCTTGACCTGAGTAACACAGTAAGGATTTAAGGAGTGTAACTGACCCTGCAGGGCCTTCCTAGGGGACACCCCTCCCCCTGTGCTCTGCTGCAGCTCCTCTCTGGAGCATCTAGATAACAGTATCTCATGCGTATTTCCTGAGATCTTCAGATGCTAAAACCACCACCAAATGGAATAAATTAACTCCTTGATGATCATGAGCACGTAGTTCCCAGACCTTCTGGTGCCCAAGGATTGATCACCATTAACCAATATGAAAATCGTGCACAGCTGATCGCACACCCTGGGACGCCCCTCCCCTCCTTTAAAAATGCTCAGCTGCAATCCTCCAGGGGAATTTTGGGTTTTTTGGGCAGGAGTCGTGTCTTCTTGTTCGGACCAGCGATAAACCTTTCTCTGCTCCCAACTCCAGCGTTTCGGTATTTTTTGGCCTCACTGTGCATCAGGCACAGGAACTTGCCTTGGTTAATGATTTGGAGGAGCCAGCCTAGGAGTCTGTGCCCATGGCAGCCCCTTCCCTGGGTCCCCACTTCGCTCCGGGGACCTGGGAGGAAGTCCCCCTGACAGGCGCCGGCCGCCTGGGCATGAAGTTGTTCAGAGCCGAGAAAGGTCCGGAGCTGCGTCCACACTCGATGTCGCTTGCAGGTGAGTCCCTCCAGCTTGCTCACGCAGGCTGGGAATTTTCTCCACTCCATCTGGGCTCATTCCCTTGTGGGAAACGAGCCACTCTGGGTCTTTTCTCTTGAGAGCTGGGCCCATCTGTTTGGAGGCCTCCCTCTGGGAGTGGAAGT